GGGGGATGGGGGGCGGGCTAGGCCAAGGTCCGGTCGTTTGGCTTCGTGTCCTGGTGGTGACCTGGGAGGCCCTCTGAGTCTGGGTCTGGTGTACCCAGGACGGGATGTGCGGGTGGTTTATTAGCATCTGGTTTGTTGACTGAAAAACAGAAGAAAGAGCAGATGTGTGCCTGCCCGGCTGGGCCTCAGAACACACAGGCTGGGTTGGCCAGTCTGTGGCCATCTGAGTGCTTGTCTTCGCGGGATGGGGGCGCCCGGGGCTCCCTGGCGGGTGTGGTGATCAGAGCCCGTGGCTGCAGCTCTGGCAGAGGAGGCTCGAAGGCGCCCGAGGTCACGGCCACCGGCCCCTCCCACGTGGAGGACTGGGGACGCTCTGCCCTGAAACTGAGGCTGGGGAGGAAGACCCTTCAGTGTTTTCTCTTTTTCTTACAAATCAGAGTTTGTTCTGAGAAGGCCCACTGCGTGTGGATCAGGAGTGCGACCGGCCTGTTCATAGTTAACTTGGCGAGCTTTGACCTGGAAGCTGTTCTACGTTCCAAAGGTAGGACCTCAGTTCAGACAACCTTTGGTATAAATTTCTCGTAACTGTAATGTGTGTGTGTTGTTGGGGGGGTGACAGTTTTAGTGGGGAAAGCCTGTCATTTGAATTTGGGGACAGGATCACTGATCCCCAGCGAGCGCGGCACTCAGCAGGTCCCCGTCACCTCTGCACTGCCCTGCCCTTGTCTTGTCTGCTGTCTCTTGGTGTGCGGGCTCTGGACCACTCCCTCCACCCCCAGCACTCCTGGGTCTTGGCCACATTGCAGACTCAAGTCAGCTCTGTCCGTGTTCCGCTGGGGCCTTGGCGAGGTGCTCGGATGCCTCCCCTCATCAGGTTGAGTGGACATGTCTCCTTGCCGTCCTTGTGTCCATCTTCAGGCTCTGTCACCGCTGGCCGCTGAGTGCGAGAGTGGTGACCGACCCCTTCCCTGTTCCCTGAGTGCACAGCGGCCGTGGCCGCTCCTGAAGGGCCTGCCTGCTCCCCTGTGCTCCCGAAGGGCTCCCAACTGCTCTGGGGTGGAGCCAGACTCTCTGCGTGGCCCGGGCCACACCTCCCCTCCCTGGGAGCCACTCCTTCTTTGTCATCTGTCTGCTTATGTGACTTCCAGCCCCTGCTGGCTTCTGCACCTGACGCCCACTCCTCCTGCCGGCTCAGCTGCGACCCTCCGGTCTGTCCTTTAAGGTCCAGCTGAGCGTCTCCCGGTTTCAGGTTGTGTCCTCTCACCAGCACCTTCCTGTCACGTTGTGTGTCTGTGTCTGTGGGCTTGCCCCGGGGTTCCTCCTCCACAGGACCATGACCTGCTACCCTGTCCTGATGTCCCAGCGCCCGGGCACTCGGGGACCAGGCAGGGAGTGCTGTGTTCCCATGCTCACCCCTTACACACTGACGTCTCTCTCTCTGCTGGAAACAAAGACTTCAGGAGCCTCAGGGTCTGAGTGGCTGGGTCGTGCACTGTGGCAAGTGGTGCCCATGGTCGTGAGGACAGTCGGGAACCGTCTGCACGTGGACTCGCCATGCGTGTCCCTCTGGACCTGGGTTTCCCCGACCCTCTCCCCACGGCAGTGCAGTGACCGGCTTCCTCAGTGAGGTCTTGGCGTGGGGGCTCAGTGACTTGCGGGGTCCCTGCGGCCATGGCTCCACCAGCAGGAGCTCTGAGCAGCGCTGCGGCACCCGGCGGCCTGTCTCTTGTTCCTGGTCGGCCATGGTCAAGGCACGTGTGCTTGTCCCACAGGCCCTCTGCTTGCTCACGTCCCTGTTTGGGAAGAAGGTCGCCCTGGTGGAGATCGACCCCACCGCCCTGCTGAGGTCTCAGCGGCGCCGCGACGTGGGCAGGACTCTCTCGGTGCTGCCGAGGTACCGTCCCCCGCGGAGGTTCCCTCCGGAGAACCCAGATTCCTCTTCTCTGAGGAAGGGGAGTACAGTTGAGTCGACCCGGCTGTCCCAGCCCTGCTCGAGGCAATTCCTGCACCACTTGCTCCCGCCTTGTTCGTAACTAACGCCTCCTAGTTTATCTTCACATGAAACGTCATTTTATTTCAGGACAGACTGTTGATTCTACAACATCACTTTTATTAAAAATATAGCTTCGTTTCTTAGAAGGGTAAGAGTAAGCTGGATGGTTTTCCTCACGTCCTCGCCGCGTGTCCACATCTGCATGCAGGAGCCGCTGCCATGTCCGCAGCCTGCAGCTCGGCTCTGCTGGGTCAGCGCTGCGTTCTCGCTGCAGCTCCCGCGTCTCACCCACCTCTCTGCTGCATCCTGGTCACGTGGAGGAGAGACGCACTGAGCAGGCGAGCGGGAGGCCGCCCGGTGAGAGTGACGCACTTGGACCCAGACGGGCACGGCCGCCCCTCGTCCGAGCTGCCGGCGTGTGGGTCGGCCCTGCTGCCTCCCGGGTCCCCGCGGGTGGAAGTGAAGGTTCAGCGCATCTTCCTTCGCCCGTCTTGTCTGCCTCTCGCATGTTTCCACACGGTGTTTGTGGTGGGGAGGGCGCCGATGTTTCTTCCCCTGAACTGGGTAGGATTCACAGGAGTTGAAAACACTGGGAAATCCTGGTGGGGTCTCTGGGGCTTGCTGTCCTCCTCACCCACTTCCCCGTTGTTGTCTCTGCCCCTTCCTGGTTGAGGCTCTGGCCGTGTTGTATCTCGAGGTATCTTGTCCTGACACGCCACATCCCGTCACGTGTGAAGTGTCACGCACAGATCCATTCCCTTGGCAAGTTAGCGAGGACGTTTTTGTGCGAGTGTGCACACTGTACGTGCGTCACAACTAAATGGCACTCAGATTTTAGGACAAAAGCTCCAGTACGGACAGTTGTATAAACAGTAAGGGTTATTACAGAGATTAGCGTTTCTCTGAGTCCAGGGAGTGGTGAAATCTTAAAGCACTGACTTTTTGTGACACTTTTATATGTTATTTAGAAAATATTTATGTAGAAAATGAGTGAAAATGACTAATTCGTAGTCATACTGTAATCTCAAAATTTGCATCTCTTTTACTTACAGAAGCATAATAGAAATAATGAAAAAGTTATGTGTGATGAAGGCCGGTTATTTTTAATACTTAATGTGTTAAAACAACATGCAGCTATGCACTTATGAACTTGATTCTGGTAATTTGAGCTCTTTCTCATGGTCAGATGCTCTAGCCCGTCGCTAAGCTTATTACCTCATCCTGAAGGCATCTCCCCGTCGGCCTGATTTTCCGGAGAAGGCTTCTCCCCTCCCTGCCGCTCAGGCGGAGAGGTTGCCCGGTTTCCGCTGGGGGGTCTGTGGGGCCCCAGTGCCCTGCGAGGTTGGGCTGGGGCTCAGCTTACCAGGTTGGAAATAGTTCCAGAAACAGAACTGCATTTCTTTGCTTAAAAAATTTTTTTAGAATTACTCAATAGCATGTATTTATTCCTTTTTCAAAAGTATTTTATAATATTGTAAAGAATATTCATATTGAATATCAAGTATTAAATGTACATAAAAATAAGTAATTCAGGCAGAATTTTACTATGTCTGAAAGCATTTTTGAGATTTGTCAGCATTGTTGGTAAGCTCGTGAGGGATCAGAGTTGTAATCACTCAGCAGTGCTGTGGAGAACGTACCGTATGTTAAAAGCAGAGAAGCTTCGCTGCCAGCAAGATGCGCTGATCAAACCACGTGTGGTGGCTGGTCGCTCGTCTCTGTCACATGAGAAGTGAAAGCATGAAGGAGGCGTTTGAGGGGGTCCCAGATCCTTGCTGCGCTTGTCCGTGGAGGGCTCGTCGGTCACCGGCCCTTGGAGTGACCTGCCTCATGGACCCGCTTCCACCACCACCACGTTCCCTGTGGCCGGTGGCACCACCTCGAGGGCTCCCGGCCAGCGCTGCCAGAGAGAGCTGGCGTCTTAGTCCCTGAGCATCTGAAACACACAGTGTCAGACACACTGCGGTCCAGGACCATTTAGGAGCGAGGAAAACGCTCTTGTTGTTTTCCTGCGCTTTGAACGGCCTTGGCTTGACCTGTTTGCTGTACAGCTGGTTAGGCATCAGGTCTGAAACCTCCTAAATCCATAGGTCGTGAGCTCTTCCCACTTGGGTGAACTGCGCTGTTTTTAGGACCCTGTGTCCGTAAGGCAGCAGCAACATTAAAGATTCGCTGCTGCTTTTATTTGCATTCTTACCTAGCTGCTCGGAGCGCCGTGAAGGACCACCCCCTGGTTTTCCACAGTCAGGTCCGGTCGTCCGGGTACGGGCCGCCCCGTGGTGAGTGGGCCAGCCTGGGGGGCGGGGGCCCCGGGGGCTCGGGGCAAATGCGTGAGGGGCGGCGCTGACGGTGGGGAGGCCGGGCCCAGCACGTCGTGGTTGCACAAGTGGCAGCAGCTGATGCAGCGCCCATTGAGTGCTTACTGTGTACCCGGCCTGGGATCGGCCTTTGG